CCCCCCCCCCCCCCCCCCCCCCCCACTTAACCGAATCAAACAAAATTGGTGTCAAACGTTTGTGCTACATTTGGTGGTTTGTGCAGCCGATGGCCAATGTCCTTTTTAAGACATTGATAAAAATTTTGTAGGTCATCAGAAGTCAGAGGTTTGTGTATCTTTTCAGAATCTCAAAGCTTGATGGGGTCCAGCTTTGAGATTCATGTCAGGGGTTCAATGGGCCAAACCATTGTAAGGCTGATGTACCTCTCCGAAAGCTCCTCGGCCAATAACTTTAAGAGACTCAAAGTCATCCAAGCCAAGCCGCGTCCTCTTCAATCGCAGGAACTCCGTCTCCTTACGAGCGTGCTGCGAGCGCCGCATCACCTTCTACAAGAGAAATGGACCGAGTCGTGCGACTGAGTAAGTATTATATGTTGTGCAACATATTAAAGATTGTGGCCTAGACAAAGATGAACGTTGTACCTCTTCGTCTGGTAAGCCTTCGTCATCCATGGCTTTCTCAAGCTTCTTCTGCCTAGAAATGAGAAACATTGTGATGAAATAAAAAAAATTTTTACAATAAAACCATGAGAGGAAACTTTGAGGCGGGAGCTGCAGAGCAGAGATGACCTAACCCAGAAGGTGTGCTGGTTGACTGGTTGTAAACAGTGACTCAGGTGTCTCCTACAGGACGCTCTGGCCCGTGTTGCTGGGACGACAGATGGGCTCTCAGGGAACACGAGAACAGAAGTGACTGTACTTTGTTTTGTTCACACCTCGGATGGGGCGACTCCGGACCGCTCCCTCGTGTTTGTGTGTTAACTAATGAAACCCGAGGCCTTAAACAACAGCTGTAGTTATTAGGGGATCAAATCTGTCTCGTGTGTGAGAAGTAAACACTGTTGTTTTGGCTTGTTTGTGTGTTTGACTGTTATCAAAATATCTCATGAAACCACCAGACTGGTTTTATTGAAAGTCATGGAAAATAGTTTTGGAGTCAGTCCCATTCTAGATGGCTGCTGCAGCTAATCGACATTAGCAACACAAAAATGACTACAACTCAATCAATTTTACAGATGCTGAGCTCAAATTTGGTGTGGTAGGTCTGTATCTGTCGTATGATTGATTACCACTGAACTACATGTGTCTGCGCTGTGACAAACAAAAGACAGCAGGCGCACCTCATCTCGCGCTCCTCGTGCTGCGTGAGCAACGTGCTGTAGAAGTTCTCCAGCGTCAGCTTGGCCACGGTCACCCTCTCCCGGGTGTGGTTGCTCATGGGAAGGGCAGCTGCCGTCCCTCCCGTCATGGCCATACTATCCTGAGGGATGACACGAGACAATCAGAGGAAAATCACATCTCTTTTTACACTCCGTCGTGTTAAAACAAGTTTCCTCGCTGCGTCATCGTGAGTCACAGGCAAGGACTGAGCGGAGGCGATGATGATCTTTAGTGAAATATATTAGGTTGGACTTCAGTGTTTCGGCTCCATGTAAAAACAAGTGTGAACATACATTAACACCATTCACATCACACATCATGACAGTTTAAGCACACCTAAATGTTTACACCTACAGGAAGAAATGTTCTGTATTTTCTCCTGCATCTTAATGCATGCAGTTTTAATGTTCAAGGCAAAAACTAAGCAGTACTCCTCTAAAAGCTTACATTCAACATGGTCCATTAAAACCTTTATTTCCTCACACAGAAAATGAAAACTAAAAATGTAGGCACTAATGCACCCCTACACCATCAGAGATGCAGGCTTTAGCATTGTACACTTATGCAGTGAAGTTCGCTAAAAAGTTGCGTTTCACAGTTTGCGGACTCAGTCTTTTGCAGATTTTTTCAKAAAACCTAGTCGTTTGCGGTAATCCCTAAAATATTGCAGAAATMCAGCACAGTAAGGAACACCTATTTTTTTCTCTCTCTTGTGCTTTTTTGTGAGTTTTAAAGCTAAATTATTAAGAATATAATTTACTAATTTTGTAACTTAATTATTAACAGAATTTCCGCTCCATATAAAAGAATTACAAGTCAATTTCACACACTGTCACACAGGAAGAGTGTGATGAGTTCAGAATGACTTTTCTGAAAGTTGCTGAAAAACCCTAAATGCAGCACAAACTAAATGTAGCATAATGCTTACTGAAAGCAAAAAGTTGGCAAAAAGTATCAAACCCACTAGCTTAAAGCAGTGCTGCACGCCCCGTGCCCAGGGTCCGCCTTCTAACATTTTACCCAGGGTTCCCACACCTTGGTCAACATCAAATTCAAGGACCCTTCAAGGACTTTCCAGTACCAATTTCCTCAAATTCAAGAACCATGCGCAACGGCAATTACCTACTGCTACGGCAGAATGTTACCAATAAACAGGTTTAATATCATGTAATTCAATGAAAAATTGAACAATATAGAAGTTGCTGAGTCAGAATCAATAAAAGAAAGTGGATTAAATGTATACCCTACATTCATATCCACAATACATGGACGTGTAATTATATTAGAGGTTCAGCAGCTCAGTTTGGGAGGACAAGATGTGAACACGTCCAGATGCTCGGTGAGAACAGGAGAAGTTGTGGTGCTGGGCTCAGAAAGAACGACCTGCCCTACTCTGCTCTGATTGGATAAAACTATGACTATGGCTCACGTTATTTGTTGAAAGCCACGTCGGTTTACCGTAATCCTGAGTTATCCACCGCAACAAATGGATGGTTTTTATTTTATTTTATTATTATTATTAATTTTTTTTTTTGGATGATGAAAATCAGTTGTGTGAATAGAGAACTTCAATCCCCAAAAAAACATTCAAGGACTTTCAAGGACAAGTGTAATGTTTGGCTGTTTTCACAAACTTTCCAGGGCCTTGAAATCATTTTTTCAAATTCACAAACTTTCAAGGACCTGTGGGAACCCTGTTTACCGTACAGTATTGTGTAGCGTAGCTGCTAATTTATTCTCTCTCACGTTTTTGTTTGGTTCTTATTGCAAGATGCCATCCCAAATGTCCTGTAGGCCTTTTCTGGACTGCATTGAGTTGCAATGACAGCTGTGATAAACTTCATGTTTGACAAAAATAAAGAGAAGGACAGTTGTTTTGTTTTATAATCTAAATTGGGAAAAAAAAGAATAACTATACGTTTTTTTGTTTTTCAGTATCTGTTTTTAAAACGAAAAACAAATTACCAAAATGCAAATGGACTGCTCACATATGGCTTCTTTCTTCTTTGCATGATAGAGCTTTAACCAGCATTTGTGACTAACATGGCGAGCTGTGTTTACAGAAAATGACTTGTGGAAAAAGGAAAATAGATCAATAAACAAATAATGACAATGTACTTGTCAGCCGGTTGGTCTTTCATTTCCCAGCACAATAAATCAGACCTAAAATGTAGTCCAAACAAAATAGCTTCAAATTCTGATTATTTAAGAGGTAATTATTAAACAACGCTCAACCAAACATCTCGCTTCCCAATTAGCTGACGAGCTAATTTGTTGTGTGGCTCTCAAATGGGTGGAATGAAAACCACAAAAGTAAAACCTGCTGTGGGAGTATGTCTTACTAAAAGAAAATAACAAAATAAAACTAAATTAAAAGGAGTTTAGTTTTATTTCTAAATAACAATAGGATCCAACTGTGCTCACATTATGTAACAGAAAATAAAAGACAAGGGTGGAGATGTAAATCAATGGAACATGTTGGCTGCATGCCAGCAGAAAGCCATGAATGGGGCTGATTAGCTCACAAAGACATGAAAMAGCTCTGCAGCCCTAAGATAGGAGCTGTGTTTCGTCTATTCCTCAGCCCTTTTCCCGTTTCGGCCCCAACAATCCCACAGCARCAACAAGCTTCCTGATTACAAAGAAAATCTCTGCATCATTGTTGAAAAAAAAGCTTGGTTTGAAGAAAAAAAGGAACCCTGGGAAAACAGCCTAATTACCTGCTGAGGTTTGTACCCAATCAACAGCACATACCACAAGTCAATTTCACACACTGTCACACAGGAAGASTGTGATGAGTTCAGAATGACTTTTCTGAAAGTTGCTGAAAAACCCTAAATGCAGCACAAGCTAAATGTAGCATAATGCTTACTGAAAGCAAAAAGTTGGCAAAAAGTATCAAACCCACTAGCTTAAAGTAGTAGCATGCAAGCTAATTGCTAAAAGTAACAAAACCTCGGCAAAAAATGGTAAAATACTAGTTAAARGGATCTCTGATAGTTGTAACATTAGACATTATTTGATAAACATTTGCTTCAATTACTGTATATAAAATACTGTAGGCTGTTTAGTTTTTATGAACTTAAAAATATATATTGTCACATGAACATTGCCTTGTTATTTACACCACAAAGTATTCTGAGTAAATGAAAGTTTACCGGATGCTCTGGTGTGAGCTCTAKCCAACTTGAAGGTAAATTTTGGACAATACTGAACATGAAGCCTTTTTAAATGAAACCAGAGCGTATTGAAAGAGAGGAGAATGTAGAAATGACTCAGCCTGTAACTGAAAATATGGATGGAGGACAACAGAGCTGCTTCATGGAAGGGGAACTTCAGCTTTAGCCTTTTAGCTTTCACAGTAGTGCCTGAGCTAATATACAAGAATAGCTTCAGAGCTATTATACATACAGTATATGGCAATAAATGGAGTTAGCTACACACACACACACACACACACACACACACACACA